TTGTAACAAGGGCTGTAATGAGCAAACTCAGCACAAACCAGGCTTCAAAACCATTACCTTTCAGTGCGTGTGGCTGATTGCTGCACGGGGCAGGGTTTCCCTCGTAGTCAGTTGGGAAGCATTAATCATTTGCTTTGTGTTTTTTTAATCAGAAGTAGAAGTTATCTCTCTGATTGTAGTGCCCATCTGACACCCCAATCAATAATCTGATCTTTTTTTCTTCTCTCTTCAACGATAAACCAAATAGTGTGCATTTTCATTAGTTTATTTAAATATAAGTGACTCGGTAAGAAGTTTGTACATTTCCTTATTTGGGAAACAGCTTAGTGATTCATGTGGTTTGTTGGCAGCTGTAGTTAGGAGATAGTGAAAGGGAAATGTGATTGCTAGGGCTACAGTTCCAATATTAATCTATTAACTGTTTAGTTTAACCATTGTCATTACACTGCACTTTTGATGCAGTGCAGAGATTTCCATTGTACTTGTGCCAGAAGTGCAGGTTGCTGTCCTTGGCTTGGCTTGGAAGTGTTGCTGTAAGCAATATATATATAACAGTAATCCTTGCATTTGATACAAGTGCCTTATCATGTCTTCAAGATGCCTCAAAACACTTCACTGTAAAGTGAATTGGCTGTGTATTTTGTGGGTGATTTTGCTTCACTCTAGTGACAGTATGAAAATTGTCCACTCTTTTATTTTATGCATTACATTGGGCTTGGTCTAAAATGCCAGTTCTTCATCACCAAACTGAGGCAATTCGTGCTGGTAGACTTTAGATGCTCTTGTCCACTTTCTATTGGTTTTAAAAGCAGCTGACTGTCCATCACATTCCTTCTGCAGCTGGAATATTCAAATATACCTGCTGTACACTGGCTAAGCAAATCTGCCGCTGTCTTATGCAAAGAAAAGTATCATTTGCATAAAAGGTTGTTTTGTGATCCATATCACTAACAGTTGGCTTCAGATGAAGGTTGATTGGGACTAATGAGCTGTGAATATATTGTACACAGTTGTCATGGTTAGTGTGAACGTCAAACTTTCCAAGGCAAACGTGACTGTTACTAGTCCAGAATAGTTAATACTGGAATGGTTGAACAGCAATTATTGACAATTCCCAGTGGAATAATTGCAATCCTCTATTGGAGCTGTGGTAGGGATTGCGTTCCTTTTCTCCTGCTGCAGCAATTTAACATTACAACCAGCAATAGAGTGATTTTGAACAGAAAATTTGATTCATACTTTCCTGCTCAGTCTGAAGCACTCTGCACATGAGCATCTTAGCATCAATTAGTTTTCTAATGTTATTTTGTAGTCAAAAGTGAGACAGTTTCTCTGATAATCTTAAAGAAGCTTAAGGGTGGTCCTCCCACATTTTTAAAACGTTCAGTGGAATTGGCTGATGTATATCCCAGTTTATCCTGTATTCATTGACATTGGTGGCTTTTAGCAATCTGTTCCTGGATTTGTATCTATGTTCTGCTTTGTGCTATACACTTCGTGTTGCTATTATTGTCCACTATCGATGGGATATTAAGCACATTCCCGCTGAATAAGGTACATTATTATCAAACTTGCATAGAAAGCAGAGTGCAATTTGTTTCAGTAAAACGTCTTCCCATTAGCTGATCATATATGTCTTCCTGGATTTGTGTTAAAAGACTTCAAGATGCTACTGTACTTGCAAACTGTTGTGTTAATATATCTCCATCCTGTTGGGTGACGCTGAACTGGATGGGGGAAGCATGCACCAGACAGCAGTGGTGATGAAAGCAAACACGAGGGGACAAGATTTAGGTTAATACACGAATCATTCTTGCAGTTTCTGACATTATCCAACATCCCTCAAGTGAGATACCACCTTCTAGTCGGCACCTGCTTCCACTTGGTGTGAATGTTACCGATCAATGGGTGTAATGGTGATTTTCAGACTTTGTAAAGATGGTCTCTGTTAGGTGCAGGGTAACTTATTCAAATACCCCAGTGCTTTCTCGGACTCTTGGAGCCCAACTGATAGATGAAGAAAATCAGCCAACGGAAGTAAACAAATCTGAGTGACGGGCAGCCCTGGAATTTGAACCAGTGAACCTCTGCTTGGCTGTTACACCCTTTTAATTATTCTTATGACCTGGTCTTCAGAGTGAACTCATGACACCCTCCTTCAGTTGTCTGAAAAAAAGTCCCTGTAGCACTTTTGGAGCGTTAAAAGTCTGATTACTATATAAAGAAATAACAGATGCTATACAGTGATAATTAGATACGACTCTGTGTTTCACACTTTTACCTGTTAAGATTCTCAGATTGCATGGCATATCTGCCCCAGGTGCTGTCCTTTCATCTTGTGCTGGGATTTAGGCTATGTTGCTTGTTGCACAAAGAGATAGACTCTTAATTAGAGAAGATGGCACTTAAGTGTTGTACTTTGTACATTGCCACCATTGAACTACTGAAAATACTGAGTGTAATCTGTGAGCGCATCATATGTTCGGAAACTTGGACAACTCTTTATTTAACTGTCTAGTGCTTAACAACATCTTGCATTTAAATAGCACCCCTCACACAGGTTAGTGTCCCAGAGCGCTTGACAGTGGCGGAGCACGACACCGAGTCAGGGGGAGGGGAGAGGTGCCCATAGGGATGGTCAAAGAGTAAGGTCTTCGGGTGCAATCTGAAGATGGAGGAGGAAGAGGCAAGGCGAAGGGGAGAGGAAGAGTGCTCCAGATTTTCGGGGCATAGCAACTGAAACCCTGGTCGCTAGGAAGCTAGGTGCTGTGCTAAACATCGGGTCACTTTGCTCCTGACATTTCGAGCGTGTTTATCAATTTGATTTCATTGCTAATGAAAGTGATAGCACCTAATGTTTCCATTGTAATCAGGGAATAAACCCACATCATTGCTGCACAATGACAGTTAATCATGCATTAAAAGGTGCTAAACAGTTAAGCTGGCAATGATAAACATCACAAATGTAAAATTTATCATTGCCAACTTTTGTGTAAGAAATGTTGGCAGCCCCCGTTTTTTCAATCACTTTCTCACGCAAAGGTTTTCAGGCATTGATCTTTGCTCAAGTACACTTGGAGCATTTCAGGAGACACTATTGCATTTTATTCTTTTATTTGTCTTTTAAACAGTTGATAAATAGTGGTGACCCTAGATCTATTGCGGCAGCATAATATGTATTTATGGAAGCTTCCAATGGTCCCTCTTGATGTTTTTCCTTTAAACAGTAAGTCAGAAGATTGTTTATTTGCTGCAGTGAAAAACTGGAGAATCGGTAACTTGAAGGGGAAAAAAAGCATTGAGATTTGGCAGATCTAGTGTGAGAGCCCAGTTCAATAATTGAAAAGTTCAGGAATATTAAGAACAGAGAGTACTGGAAGTGCACAGCAGAAAGCCACTTCTCAGTTTAACAGGTTGCGTTGGCTAGGACCTGTTATTGGCTATAGAACAGCAAATACAGTGAAACCCACACCCTGTAAATCTGATCTTGGAGGATTCCTTATCCAACCCAGTCTGGACCCAGTCCAGTTTGTCTGTGACTTTGCCAGATCCCTCTAAACTTGATTTTAAACTGTGGATATATGGCTCGTGATCCCTGAACCTCTTGGTTTTTTTTTACCCCTAAGACCTTTGCGCTTTAGAGTAAAAATCCTGTAAAACACTTTGAGCTGTGAAACGTAGTATGTCAAATGTAAAGATTATTATTGTCTTAAAACTTAAGATCTGGAGGATTTGGGAAAATTCTAATTAATTTCAGTCTTAATTTGGAGGATGGTTTTGGGGCCATTCTTTTCCGGATTCTAAATTAAGGCTAAATTTAAGAATTTTCCCAAATTCTCCAAGGCCTTAAATTTTAAATGTTGAAGTTAAAACCTCTCCGCCTTTGGGACTCTCTTGTTGATTGTCGCATCAGCTGGAGGTAGTGGACAGGAGGAGAGAGATTAGTGAGGGAGGCATCCCTTCCCACTTCACTCTTTTGTGCCTCTTTGTGGTTGATTTGAAAGCTCTATTGGCTGTGTATCTCACTGTCCCTTTCCTCAGTGAGAGAATAGTGGATATCAAATGGAGCAATGGACACAATAATTTATTATAGCTCACTAAAAGGAGAAAATTGCTTCTGGGACAAAACTATGCAGTGAGCTCAGCTTAGGCTTATTTAGCATTTTTTTTATCATTAGGTTTATTTAGCTTAGTTCCATGTGTTTCGCTGTGAGTTGCTCTTTAATTCATCACTTTACTCCCACCCCCGGTGTGTTTCACCCTATTTTTAAGTTTGCTCAAAATACTCTGTCTGAACATGGAGGACTATCCTGGGTTGTTCTCCAAATTCAAGTGGACATATGGTATAATTTTCACTTTACTCTGTTTACTGAAGTGAACAGATGGGTTCAAACAAAACCTGCGATGGAAATGTACATTAAATTCATGTGTGGCTACACAGAGCATCCCTGACACAAGTGACAATGTTTATACTTTTTTATTGCAAAAAATATATAAATCATTATTGTTTGAAACGCACAAGGGATCCAGTTGCAGACTTATTCAGTAGAGAATTAATAATAATCCTTGCATTTGATATGGCGCTATTCACATCTTCTAGACGTCTCAAAGCGCTTCACAGAATATACTGTAAAGTGAATTAATTGTATATTTGTGGGCGAAATTAAATGTTTCTTCTGTATTCTTTGTTTCTTTAAAGTAAACCATTGAGAGATCCTATTTATAAACAATATTGCATTGTTTATAAATCGTATGCTTTTTTTCATTCTGTTCAAAGTAAACTGCCCATCTTATGATCAAATTTAAATGAATATAAGTGTAATGTAAACATTTGCTACAGTGTCTCAAAGTAGAATTATTTTTTCCCCCTTTATTCCCAGGTAAACGATTACAAGAATGGATCTGCGTCATCCTGTGCACATGTCTAGTGATGGTCAACTCATTTTTCTTGATGCAGCATTTTTCCATGGATCACATGTTCAAATTAATAGTGGCCATCTGTGAGTATTAAGCGTGTTGGGCAGAGTGGGGTGTGACAAGTTATTGTGCAAGAATCATTTCAATCGGGTTGTTGGGCAGACAATACTGGAAGCAGTGTGAATTTGGGCTGGAATAGCAGTGACAGAACGAGGGTTCACACAGAGAGATGGGCAACAGCCCTAACAGGGTCTTTTGTTTCCTCGCCTGGGCAAATGGCAGTCACTGACAAGTCGTCACGCAACTAATTTCTAGTTGGTCAGAGAGTTATCTTCAGCTAAGCTCAGAACCAAATAAAATACTGACTGAAGTGGTTTCATCACAAAGTATTTCTGTTCTACTAAGAGTGGGGTGAAAAATCAGTCAGTGACTTCGATAACAAAGACAGGAAGTTTTACAAATACTTGTACAGTGAAGCAAACGGAATAAATGGGGGAATAGGGGGAAACTTGTCAATGTAATAATGTTTCCTGGGAGGATGGTATACAAAAGGTGCAGTCGATTCACTTTACAGTATATTCTGTGAAGCGCTTTGAGACGTCTCGAAGATGTGATAAGGCGCTGCATCAACTGCAAGGATTATCAATATTATTAATTGCATAGACTTGTTGTAATCAGCAGGAATTAATTTACAAAACTAATCTATCATCAAACTATTTACACTTTGCTGTTTTTAAACGTAAAAAGCGTCAGACCTGGGACGAAATCATTTTTTTACCAAAATCATCGTACCGGCTGAATTGATTATCATTCTAAAATAAGCCTAGATTTAACAAAGGAGAAGCCAAGAGCAGTCACTTGGTATCATTTTAAAATCCCTTATTTTAGCAAAACTGTACAGGAGTTGAGTAATGTGCAGTAACTCTGAATTGAAGTTGACAAGAGGAATTTAATAGAATAGTTCTTTTATAAAAATGAGGAGTTCCATGGCCAAGCAAGGAACGCAAACTGCACAGATTCTGTTCTGGAGAGCAAAGGACAAAATAAGAGAAAGCCAGACAGACTCTGTCTGTGAAAGAGTGTAAGTAATGGGAGGAGCTCAAACTATTGCACAAAGAAATGGATGAAAAACTAAAGTCACGTGACAAGACCCTGGAGGATTGGATTTCTCTGTAGATTAAGTAAATGCAGAGATTGAGACTCAAAATAAGAAAAGGGAATCTGGGGATATATGAACACAGGTATTAAAGGGGAAGGCAATAGCTTTTTTAAAAAAATAAACTCTTGCAGGACAAGCAGGAATGAAATTGCTGTGCGCTTGAGCAAGTAAATGCTCCAAAAGAGTATAAGAGGGAAATGGTGTGAATGGAAGCAAATGGCGAGGTTCACTCTAGGAGAGTAAATCGACAAAAGGCAACTGAAATCCTGGGTAACAGAACCACACGCTATAAGATTCAATCCGAATTGAGGACCTGCAAAACCGGTTTTCCACTTGGCAAGGCACCACAGTCACGCCAGCAAGGTCTTGCTCTCACCCAAACTCTAGGTGTGCACTTTCGGGCACCCTGTCACTTCACAGCAATCGGGAGCAGAAACCCTGGCTAATTTATTACAATCGAGGCCAAGGATATTCTAATGTTCATAATCCTTGCATTTGATATAACGCCTTTCAATTCAGGAGAACTTCGCAAAGTGAAGGGATTGTTGGCTAGGACACCAGAAGGAACGCCCTTCTCTTTTTGAATAATACTATTGCGATCTTTAACAACCACCCGAACAGACATTTGGGATTTTGATTTAATGTCTCAACGAAAGATTGGCAGCTCTGACAGTGTTGTGCACCTCAGCACTGGAGTGTCAGCCTAGACTAGAACAAGTTCAAAATCCTGAATTGAAGCTTGAACCCACAACTTTCTGACTTGGAGGTGAGAGTGTGTTATCAAAATGAGCCAAGTGAGCCAAGCTGACACAATATTGACATATTTGATTTCCTCTGGTTGACATAGAAAATATTCTATCATTAAGTTTAATTTGTGATTTCTTCCCCATTCAGTCATTTGTTCTTTTCCTCCTAGTCTGTTTTGCATGAAGTAGCCTCTGATCCTTTACGCTATCCGTTTTCATAAAAGCTCGGATCATAATTTTCCCTTGAATGTTTTTTTCATCTGTTTGACATTTTGAGGTCCACTTTCTCCTGTTGTGCCAGGGCAAGATACTATTTCCTGATCGGTAATATGAATTGCTACTGGGCAAGTACAAAATTGCTTTTGTCTCCAGATCATTGTCATTCCCCTGCCTCTCTTAGCGCAAATGGGCCAAGCCAAGAAATGGGCCAGGGTGATGCTGAAATAAGGCAATGATCTGCTTACACATCAGCCCCAGCCAAGCTCCATCATGTCCATTTCAATCATTTTAGAAATCAGTTAAAGAGAGAAAGCAGATCCCTGTTTCACATCAGCGCAGTAGTCCAGCAAGTGAGAAGGCATCTAATGTGTTTAAAAATGTAACACCTGAGAATGGTACCTTACCTGTACAGGTAAGTTTGTCCCTCCTGGGCCATATTGCAAATGACCTCTAAAACAATGACCCGTTTTTGTATCTCACCTTTCACTTAGAAAAATGTCTCAAATGTTTCACAGAGTTGGACTGTGAGCTTGAGCAGGCTGGGAGACATGAGGTTAGGAGGGAGGGAGGGTGGGTGGCTGACAGTGTGGTCAAAGGATAGGTTTTTACATCACCAAGTCTGAATGTCTCAATTAACAACCATGTTAATTGCAGCTTGGGAAAGAGAAGGGGGGTAAATTCATATCAAACCTGTGCATCAATGCACCAGGGAGCACAAAGGTGCCTTTGCTCTCTCCCTGCTTTCAAGTTCAGTCTCGGCTTCCTCTTAGAAATTGCACTTTTTTATAACCTCAGGATACTTTGGCTGGTATCCACATGCACACCAGCCAAAGTATCAATTTTGTTCTCTTCCTCCAACTGGTTCTCATTTAGCTCTGTACATCACCGGCAGAAACACTTGCATTGTGTGAATGTCCAAGGTTTTCTCCTCTAATCCTTAAGGGAAGCTGAGCGTGTGAGCTTGAAGATTTTGTGCAAAACATCTATATCAAAAAGTAAGCTTAAAAAAAGTTATTCCTGGGTCATACCAGTGACAGCAGCAACTGTTTGACTACACCATGAATTAACTCATTCATTGAATAGCAACATAAGCATTAAGGAATGTAAAAATTTGACAATTCTGAGCTCATGACTGATCTGTCACTCAATCCACTTGCCTGCCTTTTCTCCATACCCTCTGATACCCTTACTAGCTAAGTATTTATCTACTTCCTTCTTAAACATTTTCACCAACCCTGCATTAACTTTCCCGTGGGTGAATTCCACAATCCTACAGCTCTTTCAGTAAACTGATAATAGTAATCTTTACATTTGATCTAGCGCCTTTCAAGTTTGGAGGATGTCTCAAAGTGCTGTATACTGTAAAGTATAACAACTGCGTATTTTGTAGGTGAACAGAGCAGATGTGAGGCTTGAAACCACAATCTTCTGACTCAGAGGCGAGAGTGCTGCCAACTAAGCCAGGCTGACACAGCAACAACAAAATTACATTTGTATAGCGCCCTTCACGTTGGGAGGACGTCCCAAGGCGCTGGACCGACAGAGTTACGGACCCGAGCTGGGGATCGTGGAGGGCAGGGGGGGAAGCAGGGAGATCGAAAGCACGGTCGAAGAGGAGGGTCTTGAGGTGGGTCTTGATGGAGGCAAGGGAGGGAGCGAGGAGTAGGGACTGCGGAATGGAGTTCCAGAAGGTGGGGTGCAGAGTGGCAGAAAGTCCGCCCACCAACAGTTGTGCGAGCGAGGCGGGGGACGTGAAGCAAGCTGGAGCCCACTGAGTGGAGGGAGTGAGCAGGATGTTAGGGGGTTAGGAGGTCGCAGAGGTAGGGGAGAGCAAGACCGTGGAGGGCTTTGAAGGTGAGGACCAGGATCTTCAACTGTATCCTGTGTGATGGAAAGCCAGTGGAGTCAGGTGAGGATGGGGTTGATAGGTTCACGGAGCCTGGTGCGGGAGAGGACATGGGCTGCAGAGTTCTGGATGATCTGCAGCCTATGGAGGGAGGATTGGCACAAATGTCTTAACTCCTAACAGGTCTATGTCTAATTTGATTGTTTGCTCTTGTCATGTTTTATAGAATCATTTCAGCTCTGTACAAGCCCCCATGAACTTTTCATTCCAGACACAGCATTTTCTCCACAGCTCTCCAACTCTGGCACTCTTGGATAATTTGCCAGGCGTTTTAAATCATTTGCAAATTCAGGAATTGCCAGTGTTTTCTGTAAACACATTGGTAAATAAAGCAACGTCCAACTCAGTGCGTCTACAAAATGATCCTTGCATTTGGTATAGTGCTTTTCATGTCTTCTAGACGTCTCAAAGCGCATCTGTACGTAGAACCATTGTGTGGATTTGTAATGGAATGCGTTTTTTTTCTTACACTGCGAAAGGATATGTTTTGCATTTAAAGCATTTTGCCTAGGAACAAAACCTTCACACTTTCCTTTAATTATAATACATGAATTAGTTATTGATACGTATCAGCCCGTCGGTCTGTTAAGTGGCCCACTCTTGTCACAGGCCTGTGACCCTGTGCTTCTAAGACTAATGTTTAAAAGGCAAGAGACTTGAGATCATTGAGCAACACTGAAGTAACAGTTCCTCTGGCTGCATGCCTGATATCGGGTAAGGTTCCTGGTGTGTTGGCTCTTGACATTTTGTTTAAATGGCAGGAAAGGTCCTAATCAGCCTGACATCTCCTGGCAGACATCCTGACTGCTGGGATGTTTGTAGCTGAAACCCAGGCTCACTTTTAGCACTTCACAGAATAATGTCTGGTGTGCGGGTTTTGAAAGCGTGGAATGCACTGCCACAGAAGGTCGTGGATACAGAATTAATTGGGATATTTATAGGGATGATAGATGGATACTTTGCTTGCTCGGTGATCCAAATATTTTTCGTAAAGCACTTAAAGATGTTGTGCTATGTGAAAGTGTAAGTTTTGGGCATGTGGAATGTAGGGAA